ATATATATATATCCAAGAAAACACGAAAAAAAAATCACGTTTTAAAAAAAATAAAAAATAAGGCAATGATATATAAAAATCCCAAAAAGGAACAGACTCACAGTTGCAATAAGATGTACCAGATCACGACGGTCTCACCAATGATGATGTCACAGGTATTCAGTGTTTGACAACGCTTCTACCAGTAACACCTTCTAAGATATTTCGTTCCCACCAAGAGAAATCAAAAGACAGAGTCGAGAGATCGGAAGAGTATATTTGGCGATGACCAATATACCGGGATTCTCTGATCTAATCTGGCTAGCGATTGTGGTTGATGTTGAGCACGGCGTTACTACACGTGATCTGGTGCGGATGCCTGACCGAGCGCCTTCAGCTAGATGAGTCCACTAAAACATATGGTCAGCATCCAATGTCGAAAACTTACAGAGCTATTTATTTTAGGGATTTATTTACCGCTACAACTTCCACTGGCAAAGCTTTGAGTTTAGATGACTCGTAAAAGTTTTTTGTATCTCGCAGTTGATGATGTGTCTATTAACTAGTGTGTTTTCGGCCGTCACTCTATACAATATCGTCCCACGTCTTCTTACAATACATCCAAATATCCATTTTGGCTTGCCAGTCCGGAAAACACATGCATAGAGTTAGTCACCTGCTTTAAATTCTTGACTCTCCGGGTGTTATGGCTTTAAGTTCGGTCGATTTTTACCCTGTGCTAACTGTTGTGTCCTTGACTGGAAAAATTAGAGCAGCGTACTTATCGATCGATTACAATGACACGTAAACACGTACGGACGGCCTAGAGTCTCGATTGGTCTCGCTTCCCTGTCTAGCCCAGTCAGTTGAGTCCAGAACACAAGTCACAACCTCTGAGATATGAATCATTATATTTCAAACATACTTTGTTTATATACCAATCAAGCATACCACATCGTACCATAAAATAGAAAACAACATTTTGTACAATATTCAACCAGTGAACAGATATCGACCAATAGGAAATGTCCGTTTAAAGTCCAAGGACACCATTGGACTTAACATGATGATTATTGGTCTATTCCTCCGCATCCACAACACCGGGCAAACCCCTTTCTTATTTTTTGTAGTCCGATCACTCTGTCTTTCGGGTTCAAAACATTAGAAAGTGTTTGAATTGGTCGGCTAAATATGATTCCAGCTAGTGATTTCCCGTCCTGACAGTTTGAACTGGGTGTAATTCTATAAGAAATTAGAAACTGTTGCAGAGCCTCTTTTACATTATCTTCTGACGCATCAAAATATGGTTAATGTTATCATATTTTTAGCTCGGAATCACATTTAATTTCAGCAGTATAAAGAGAAACAATTTGATCCTGACGCTGCTTTTTTGTCTCAGTAGATGAATGCGTTCGCGGTCAATGAGTGGTTATAAGTAAAATTAATATTAATCATAGTGCTACCGAGAGTAGCTTCACTTTCAAAGAGATCAAGGTGTCCACAAAGACTTATTTATTTTGCCGAACGACGAAATGCCATTATTTCTGATCTAAATGTTTCAGGATTTCCCTTTAACAATGAAGCGAGAAAGGGCTTGGAGACATGCAAAATAAAGAGACAACTCTAGCCTACTCAAAATGGGAGTTTGTAGTGGTATTGGAGATAACCATACAATCCTCAAAGCTGAACGTAAAATAACTGGGAAACTAGATATACAACACTTAACACGAAGAAAAGGCAAAAATGGTGAACGCAAGACTATTCGATCAGCGGATGACATGGCTCATCCCAGCAGACGTGGTTATTCGTATAACTTGTCTTTGTTCACATTAAATATATAATCCTATGTTCAGAAGTGCTGAGTATCATATTAGTAATTGTTAAGATGCAATAAGTCAGTGTAAACATTGGTGTGGCTTCCATGTAAGGCCTTATAGATTAGGCAGTCACTTAATAGCATTTCTACAATTCTACTATTTGGTCTATTATTATTATAGTACTAATAACGAAGTAGACCAAAGTTCTACGAGTTAACATATTTGTACGATATAGGGCTGTAAAAGATTCACAGATGGTATTCAAAGTCACATTTCCATTGAGATGAACAACGGTCAAAACGTTTTTTCATTTCTGATAAGTTACGAAATTAGTGGACTCATTGTTTGTTTCAATATAAATTCTTCTGAACCTACAGAAAGCTCTTTACTCGAGCACTACCAGTCGAGTCAGGGCTCATGGTGAACTGTCATCTGCTTTTGCAACGTCAAGGGGTGTCCGATAAGGCTATCCACAATCTCCATTTCCGCAAATTTCATCATAGACCCACTGCTAGAAATAACATTCTCCTTGACTGAATTTTCAGGAATTGATCTCCTTCCAGAAATACCAATTACGACTTAGAATACTCAGATGACATAGTCTTGTTTGATGGAGACACTGATGAAATGCAGTCTTTTGATAGCACTGAGCAACAATGCCAGAATGTTTTGGATGCATTTCACCCCTCTAAATACAAGTTGTTACTTCACGACTGGCCTGCGTCAACACCTGAACTAAGGATAGGGAGTGAAGAAACCGAACTAATTAACAACT